AGAAACCAAAGTTCGCACTGTATGGTTTGTGTTTCCAACTACTCATATGGTTTAGGAATACAATGCAAAAGCACTCACCTCATCCACAAAAATAATTGTAGGAGCCAACTTGACAGCCAAGGTGAATAGTGCCTTCGTAAGATTTTCGGATTCCCCATACCACTGCACCAAAAGCAACAAAAAAAAAAAAAAAGCGTTGACTATGTTAGATGAGTCATGTAAAGGATGGAATTGTTCCAAGGCATTCACTTGATTGCTTCTCCTACCATAGATCCAAGGGATGAAGGAGTAACATTGATGAAATGAGCCCCTGCTTCGGTAGCCAGAGCCTTTGCTATAAGGGTTTTTCCAGTTCCAGGGGGACCAAAAAGCAGCATCCCTTTGCAAGGCTGAAAGAAAAACATTGTGACCTTTACATTCAACAAGGTTTCTTTTTATATTATAAGAATAATATAAAAAAGAAGTACAAGTGTCTTGCAATTTCTGAGGGTGGTATTTTATAATTGTTAAAAAATTACAACCACAAGAGTTCTCTAAGATCTTAAGTGAGTAAACAAGACTTGCAACTTGTTTAGTAACCAGCCTACACTTCCAAAGTTGATTTTTGTACTTGAACACTTGATACTAACCCGAAGCAAGTTTCCACGGGAGAAAAGCTCAGGCCTCTTCAATGGAAGAATGACAGTTTCATTCAACGCCTTTTTCACTACGTCAAGGGCACCAACATCATCAAACTTGACACCAATATCATTTGGAGAAATTATAGATGGAACAATCCTTTTCTCATACTCCCCACGGGCAAGCTCCTGCAGTATTTTAGTTTATATTTTTGGATAAAACTTTTGGAAATTTGACCATTATGTGTTCACATAATGATAGGAGAATAGATAACCTTAGGAGACTTTGAAAACTTGTTTTCCGATTCCTTCAATCTCAAAATGGCGTGTTGAAGGCTGCACATAATGACAATTGATACCTCAAACAAGACAATAAAAACCTAAGTTTTATAGTAAGGATCAAGAAAAGACAGATAATTAACCTTGATAATGACAATTGATACCTCAAACAAGACAATAAAAACCTCAGTTTTATAGTAAGGATCAAGAAAAGACTGATAATTAACCTTGATTTTGGCATATGCAACCGTCCGTTCATAACTGAAGGAGAATGGCATGATGAGAGGTGATGATTCGTTGCCCAACCAACAATTTTATCTACTTCTGTAGCCCACAAAACAATAATATAATCAACAACAACAACAACAACAACAACAACAACATACCCAGTATATTCCCAAACGGGTTGGGTAGCGACCCAAGGTGCATTGCGTCGTTTGGTATATTTTTTTTTTCTAGAGACTTCACTAATAGAAGAAGCACTAGAAATTAATTGAGTCATTTTGATCTAGTCCATTATTAGCACTATGCCAGAAGAATTGTCAACAATGACTCTTCCAGCCATTCTCTTTTTTATTTCCTTAAATCTTCATACATTTTGCAGCCAACAAATAAAGATATGCCCTTCCATTATCTTTAGACATGCATCATCAGTTCATGACATTGTGTGTGTACATTTGTACAAGGGTGTTACAAATTAAGAATTCTTGCCTCGTCTACTCAATATCAAACCACTGGAATCTACAAGCTCCAGGTCCTTGCATACCAAATCGTGCTTATTGAGAACCTGAAATGAATGAATATGATTAAAAATCAACTCAGAAACAAATTGATCTCGAACAAAATTCTGATACATTTACCCTGTGCATTGCGCTTATATTTCTTCCAGAAATCATCTTTTTCTCATCTTCTAGAATCTGTGAACCCAATTTCTTCACGTCATCTTTTTCCTGCAATCATAAGACTACAGTCACCTCTTGTTTAATATCCATAATATCTGCGTGTATTCTTTTTATGTTTCTCTGCTTGTGCATTCACATGTGATAGATATAGTTCGATAACAACAAATATTACCTAGCAGACCACAATATATTGACAATAAGTCCAGGATTCTTTACCCACATAACCTTAACAGCAAACGAACATATAATATTTTTTTTAAATATAAGATCGGTAAATCAACAATTACCTTTGGGGGTACTATACTTATAATGTTGGGAAAGGGTTTGCGCTTTTCTTTCTCTTCTTCTCGTCTACGCCAAGTATCTTTTACTTCCTTAGTTATTCCTTTCAACTGAAGAACAAAGTACAAAGTAAACATTCTGATATCACATTGATAATGTAATAAGACATTATGATAGAAAATAAATGCATGGCACTATGGAAGAATAATTAACATCACCAGAATGTAAATTGAAGTAACATCTATTTCGTCTAGATCTACCATTAGAGCAGCTTAAGAACGTAATAAAAGGGTAATTTCTACTTTGACGTTTAACCTAAAATCAAAAGATCAGTCACCTCTCAAATTACGGTAGCCCCTTAAATTGTTACAAACAACATACCTGCATTACCCAACAACTCTGGAAATAGAAACAATTGTCAAGTGGGTCTTCGAGTCTTTGAAACTATAGTAGATAGCTAGGATCTATTGTAATTAAGCTAAACTTGAGGGTAGTTATTGAAATTAACCTAATGTAAGTAAAAATAAAAAGGAGAGAGCAAGACAACAACAAATAAAATAAATATAATACATTATTAACCAACTACAGGCAGAAACAAAAAAAAAGAAAACAAAACACAGCACACATTCCCAAGTTCTACTAGTGATGTTAGTGATGTGAGAATTGAGCAAAGCAATTGACCATTCATTCAACTGTATATGGAGTCACTATATGCTATGTTCTAAGATTCATATGAAGACATTTACAGGTGTTCTTAAAACTTACAATACACTCAAGTTCTTCTGATCCAGGCACCGATTTGTTTTGACCGTAAATCAGAACCTTACGTTCTGTTAATTGGTCAAACATCTCTTTCACCTTTCCAAAAAACTTCTCACGTGCTTTCCAGAAGCTCCAGTAAGATCTCTCTGGCAACCAGCTAAAATGATCCGGAAAATAGACAATTATTGACGGGTGAGACTCCAGAACCTGCCAATATGGTGGTAAAAATCTAAGAGAGAAACTCATATTTGAAAGTGTCAAGCAGTATTAGTCATTGATATAAAACATGTACTTCACAGAGCACATCCAAAGCAAGATAACAATCATGAGTTTGAGCATCTGTATCATGTTTGATGTGCTTTGCTGCAAAAAAAAAAAAAAAAAAAAAAAAAAAA